CGGAGTTAAACCAGATGTGTTGACAAGACGTTGGGTCGTCTATCCCAAAGAAGGGGATATGGACTACGCTCGCGTCAATCCGCAGAACTTCTGACCGGTCTTCACTTCAGAGCAGCTCACTGCGTCCTTACGAGCTACGTTCCTAGCTGCCACAGTAATCTGAGCAGCCATACTCATCAACACAGAGGCTCTTCATCGAGACATCCTAACCTCCCTCTCCTCCGACACCTCAATCTCTTCTCATCTCGCTTCCCCCAACCTCCCCAACTCCCGCTGGTCCGTTGATGCCGAAGGCCTCTTAAGGCTGGACAATCGCATTTACGTGCCGGATTCTAACGATCTCCATCTCCGCATTTTGCGAGACAAACATGACCACCAACTTTCCGGACACTTCGGGCAAAACCGGACTCTGGATCTAGTACGTCGTGAGTATACCTGGCCGGGCATCCGTAACTTCGTCAAGAGTTACATATCCTCCTGCACTTCGTGTGCCCGTGCCAAGGTCCCCCATCATAAGCCTTACAGCTTACTCAAACAACTCCCCATCCCCAAACGTCCTTGGAACTCCATCTCCATGGATTTCATCGAACAGCTACCCTCCTCTTCTGGATTCACTTCCATCTTGGTCGTCATGGACCACCTGTCCAAACAGTGCATTTTCATCCCTACCCACGATACCATCACCTCTCCGGAACTGGCCAAGCTCTTCCTCCTCCATGCGTTCTCCAAGCATGGAGTTCCTTCCCACGTCACCTCCAACAGGGGTCCGGAGTTTGTCTCTCATTTTTTCCGTTCACTTGGTAAGGCCCTCGATATCCGCCTCCACTTCACCTCCGGTTATCACCCGGAAGGAGATGGTCAGACCGAACGGATGAACCAGACGCTCGAGCAGTACCTGCACATCTACAGTAACTACCAGCAGGACAATTGGTCCGAACTACTGCCTCTCGCAGAGTTTGCATACAACAACACTCTGAATGCCACCACGGGCGTCTCCCCGTTCTTCGCCAACAAAGGCTACCATCCGAACATCACCGTTCACCCGGAGCGAGACCTGACATCAGTACGCGCCCAAGAGTACTCTGTCGATCTCAACTCCCTCCACCACTTCCTTTGCGAGGAAATGCATCTCGCTCAGATCCATTATCAGGGCCTGGCAGACTCCCGTTGGAGCCCTGCCCCCGCTTTCGAAGTAGGAACCTCGGTCTACGTAAAGGCCAAGTACTTCCGCTCCACCCGACCTTCCAAACAGCTCTCCAAGAAAAACCTCGGCCCATTCGAGATCATCACCCGCATTGGAACTCACTCCCTCACTCTCCGCCTGCCGGAAAACATGCCAGCCATTCACCCGGTATTCCATGTCTCGCAGATCGAACCCTCCGTCCCGAACACCATTCCGAACCGCCACCAGCCACCTCCACCTCCCATAGAAGTCGAAGGCGAGATGGAGTTCGAGATCGAGGAGATACTCGACTCCAAGATCGACTGACGTAGATGCAACAAGTTGCTCTACCTGGTCAAGTGGCTAGGCTATGAAGGGACCGACGAGGAGACACAATGGCTCCTTGCCGGCAAACTCGATCACGCCTCTGACCTCGTCGAAGCGTTCCACTCTCGGTACCCAGCGAAGCCTGGACCCGAAGCTCCTTAGGAACCCCGACTCCTCTCCCATCTCTCCTTCTCCCTCCACCCCTCACTTCCGTTTTCATTTTCCCATTTTTTCTTTTCTGTAAGTACAGCTCCCCTCACCTTACTAATTCTGGGCCTTCAAGGGTTCAGGCCTAAGAAGGGGATACTGTCATATCCATCCCCGGCCATCGACTTCCGGTCCCTCCAACCCCTCCAGTCTAACTCCACTCCTTCCTCACTAACCTCGGAGCTCCCGTATTCCGCAACCCTCTCAGTACCACTCAATGGTCACCCCCCCTCATTTCAATTTATTACCTATGCCTCCCTAAGTACGGAGCCCCAAAGACTTCCGGACAGCTCTGACGTCCGCTAGCACACTCCCGCCTCCGCTGGGCAATACACTCGCCTGCCCTGCAGAGCCCACCTTCGGGCCTATCTGTCAGGGGACGACTCCCGGGTCCCCATGACCCTCCCCTATGGTCCATAGCCTGTGGTGTAACCAGCCCTATCCAGGGCACAACCTACTGTGGGTAAGGAGATGAGAAGGAAGCTAACTTCTCATCTTCCCACAGTGGCCACAATATCAGCAAAACTTCCGGGGATACCCGGAAGTCACATGAAGGGGTAGAAACCGGGTCCGGAGCATGCAGCGTGCAGAGCGTGCGTGCATGCGGGAAGCGCAGCGGGTGGAAGCGGGTCCGGATGCGGGTCCGGGTCCGGGCTAGTCAGGGTGTGTGCCCTGACACTATCCCTCCTTTCTGTTTCTGGGTTATTTCCTGCCTTTCCGCTAACCCCGCGACCCGACTCGTCGGTAATATTCAGTCGGCTAATGTTTAACCCCGTTAGCTCCGCTCTGTTCAGCTCTGCCAATTGCGGACCCGTCTTCGCTGTAACTATATATATATCCAACTTGTACATAGGTTACACTCCAGTAATAAAATCAACTAGAGTTACCCCCCTTCGGTTCTGATTGCCAGTCAGTAAGTTAGGGCACGGACGTGTCACTAGGCACAGTGCTCTTGGCAGAAGTCGCTGAGGCCAAAGCCCTCTGCTATGGAGACTCTCCCTCATCTCGAATCTGGTCTCTGACAGAGGGATATCAAAGGGCTCAGGGTCACAATGGAGTGGGTTGGTGACCTCCTGGACAGGATTGCAGGGTGACTTGGTGAGGGGTTGGAGGGTGTAAGGTCGGTGCAGGTGCTGACCTTGTATCTCCTAGTTCCTCAAGTCTGTCAAAGGGATAAGCTGTATAGAGCTATATTTTGACAGGTGTGGAGGAAAGGAGTTAAACTCCATTCATCTCACACTCTGTTATATAAATATGTAATTACATTGTTGTACATTATTTATAGCAAGGGAATAAAGATGGTCAGCCTCAAGGAACACCATTCCCTACAGAGGGGAATGTGAGGAGGAGGAAGAGGGTGGTCGAGAGCGAGGTGGATAGAGCAGAGGGGGCAGATGACAAGGATGAGGAGAAGATAGAGGGAGATTCAGAGGAGGTGGCAGGTGGGCATGGCAGCAATGTCACCAATGTGGCCATGGACATAGAGGCTTCTACTGTTGCTTTGCCCTCGTTGTAGTCTAAATCCTACCTACTTTTCTCTCTTTTTTTTTGAATCCTATTTCCTTGACCCCTTCACAAATTAAGTGTGATCAGGGCCCAGCTTGCCCAGGTAGCATGAGTGAAAATCAGTAATCAACTCTGAGGCATGCCCCAGCTCAGTAGCCAGCAGCCAAGAAGTTTCATCATCTGTCCCTTCATATCCTAACCAATGTACCAGATAGAGCAACTTGCAATTGCAGTGGCATTGGTCGATTTTGGAGTCCAGTATCTTGGAGATTTCATACTCAGGTTCTCCATCATCCTCAATTGGTGGTGGTGGCATTTGTATGTGGTTGGGAATGATGTTGGGGACAGACGGTTCGAGCTGAGAGACATGGAAAACAGGGTGAACGGATTTCAAGGTCTTAGGAATTTGGAGGGTGTGGAAATGTGTACTGGGCTGCATGATGATCTCAAAGGGCCCAAGGTTCTTTTCTGAAAGCTTTTTCGAAGGTCGAGTAGAGCAGAAGTACTTAGCTTTGATGTAAACTGAGCTACTGACTTCGAATAGTGGGGCAGGCATTCGGTGAGCATCGGCAGGGCCTTGGTAACATTCTTGAGCCTGACACATTTCTTTGCAAAGAAATTGGTGCAGGGAATCAAGATCCACAGAATACTCCTGAGCATGGGTGGAGGAGAGGTCTCATTTGGGATGGTGTCAGGGACTCATCCAGGGTTGAGAGCCTGGTGGGGGGTGGATCGGGCATGCATACTGACAGGCCCAATGCAGGACAACAGTCCCTGGCCACTTAGACTGAAATTGTTATTAAAATTGGAATGCTATACTACTTACCTGAAGTGGAAAGATGAGAAGAAGGCTACTTATTTGGTTCCCACTTCAGGTATCTTTATGTACATGTGGCTTGGGTCACATGATGGATGCCATGTCACCCTCGCACACAGCTGTAACTGCCCGGGTGTCTCTATGGGAGATCCCAAGGGCATCTGGTGTGAGCATGCATGCTGGGCACAGTGGGAAGTCACCCAGGGTGCTGTAAGGGGTTGGTTGTAAGGAATGGTGTTCCTTGAGGCCGACCATCCTTGTTCCCTTGCTATAAATAATGTACAACAATGTAATTACATATTTATATAACAGAGTGTGAGATGAATGGAGTTTAACTCATTTCCTCCACACCTGTCGAAATATAGCTCTATACAGCTTATCTCTTTGATGGACTTGAGGAACTAGGAGATACAAGGTCAGCACTTACATTGGTGTAGGTTCCAACCCCAGTTAGCCTCAGTCCTCAGTTCATTGAATATTAAGCTGTATAGAGCTATGATTATTCAACAATGGGGAGGAAAAAAGCTTCCTTGCCTTTTCCCAAATTCCCATGTTATTGTAATTACATTGTTTGTACATGTTTACAGCAAGCCAAAGAAAAATCGGCATGTCCGATTTGGATAAATGATCTATGGAGATTGTGTGGGAATCCAAAAATGGCATAAATTCCACAACAAAAATTAGAAATCAATATAATACTTGTTCAGTGCCTGTAAACACTGTAACTATATATGGCAATGGCATCCTCTGCTGGGGTCCCAGCTAGCATCAAAAGTGCCTTTGCCATGTTCCACGTGCAGCAACTCGATGTTTGTTGTTGTTGTTGTTTATACAAAGCATAGATCTAATGTCAACAGCGCTTCTAAGTAGTCCATGGCTATCAGTGATGATGGCCAGATATAAAATGCAACGTTCCATAGCTCTTTCCCCCCGCACTGGCTCTGAGGTTCAGTATTGAAGTCCCACTGCTTTCTCACTGTGATGAACAAATTAGATATTAAATTCTGGGCAGAGAACAGTGAGAAACGTTCTATATGGCCTGCTGCATATCTACTTGGGGCAACGGATCTTATCCCACTACCCAAAACTTGTGAGGATGCTCTCTCGAAATTACTTGTCAATGGACATGCAAATTATTTACCAGACAATTCCACAATTGTGCTGGATGCCCTCATTGATGGCAAGGGCCGAACTGATCAGGTGTCCTTGTGGGTACCTGATGATTGTGCATTATTTCTTGTTTACATCTGTTCCAACCTCAGCTTTCTCTATGTTCTACAGGGGATCATGTATTGTCTTTGAATGGTGGCATCTGCAAACGCATTCAAAACTATCTTACTCATAACCCAGCAACATCAAATGTGCCAACCATGCTAGCCGAAATCATCAGTCGGGTCGAAGGCATGATCACTCAGCCTTCTACCTGTCAGGGATCGGCCCCTGACCCCGCTGTCAGGGCACCCAACCACACCCCAGAACCACCTTCCCAGACTTCCCCCACTCCCCAGACCTCCCCATCCCTACATACCTCTCACAGCTTCAGCCCGCATGTGAGCCCGCAGGAAAAATCACGTGGGTTAAGGCGAGCAACTCGCCTTAACCCATGTGACACCTTTTCCGAGTCGCGGGAACACGCTCGGCTTCTACCCGGAGTCACGTTATGAACTGTACAGTACACTTCCTTTTTATAGTAGCCAAGCGGGGAATAGGGAAACTTACCCTTCTTCTCAACTCAATCCCCGCTTAGGCAAGTTGTAGTTACCCTCTGTAATACATGACAACTCAATCCCCGCTTAGTCCCTTCAGTGAGTTTGAGGAGCTGAGGACAGGGTCTAGCGCCCAACCACCTGGAACACCGCACACACCTAGGACTGAGGTCGGGCTGTCCCTGATCGAGGACCGAGCCCTGACACTACCTCATCTGGCACTGCCACTCAGACTGCATCATCAACCAATGGACCCGATGTGAAGACAACCAGCAAATCCTCTGGAGCCAAGCTCCACTTTGGTGAGTCAAACTGATTTTCATTAGCAACTATTTAATTATACAACACGACTCCCAGGCCTTCAAATCGACCTACCCCTCCACACCATGGACCCTTCCAAGGACACGGTTTCCCATGTCTTGGATGTCCCCAAGTCCTGGACTCCCAAACATGCACTATTGACGATCGCATCTGAGATGGGTGTGAACCTTGAAGTTCACAGAATTGCGTATAAAACATCTAAAATGAAGGTAAGGGATGACCCTGTCCCCATTGACTGTGCAGGTACCCTTGCAGCCGGCCTGGAGCACCAGCGCTGCATTCAGTCCTGCACTTTCGAGCAAAAGCACCTGAAGATCATCAACCTTGTAAGTCATTTATTTTCAATTCCATACGATTACTCAGTAATCAATCCCTAGTCTGCTGTCGCTCTAAAACTACGAAAAAGGCCAAGGGAAAGAAATCATCTACTGACTCTAAAGCTGGCCCAGCCACTGCCTTGCGTTCAGAGAAATTCTGCCAACTCTTAGAAGCCACTCTGTGCAGTAGGCATTCTTGTCACTGTTACCCCCACCCGAAGGCAGAATGGGGCCATCTGCGTTTGTCAAATGAGGCCCTCAGTCTATGGGCTAACTGTCTGGTATGCCTCGCATTTTTTATCTATCTTCCTTTCCAACCATTCATACTTATTCTATCATTACATTTTATTTGTATATTCAGAGCGAAGGTAGGGCAGGTGTAACGTTGGACAGGCCACCCCATCACAATCTATTTGACCCATCACACATCAAACATGGGAAACGCCCTCAGTCCCACTCGCCCCCTCACACTTTCAAACACGCAGATGTCACCTCAGCAACTGCAAAAAAATACTCTCGGTCTCTCTCACCCCTTCACAACCCCAAACACATGAAGACTGCTGAGTCACCCCATGTTGACTCACCTGCTGGCCCAACCCCAGGGCCCAGTACATTCAAGATCACTTCATCTTCACCTGCCACCCCAACCCTGAAGCCAAGGACACTCAAGGTCGCCATCAACTCAGCAAGATTGAGCATACCAATCTGTGCCCCACTCATCAACATATCCTCATCGTCGCCTGTCATCGCGTCATCATCACCCACTCATGGTCAATGCCAAGTCAAACTCAATCGCCATTCAACAACTGTCATCAACATCACATCATTGCTGTCATGCACTCATGGTCAACGTCAGGTCAAACACCGGGTCAAGCACAACTTCCATTTGACAACTATCGTTGACATCCCATCATCACCGACTGATCACCTTTCGCGCAAGCATGTCAACTCCCCTCCAATCGCCTACCTTGGATCCAACTCCGAAAGCGAGGATGACGTTGGGTTTGACATTGAACGGCATCTTGGTGCTACCTCCCATTCTGGGGTTAGGCATGATCTGGTGGAGCTCAGCAATGATGAGCTTGATGAGGCCGTCAATGAGCTTGATGCCAACGATGCAGACTCAGATGTTTTCCTCTGAGCCACGGCCCACCCAATCAACCTACCCCTAGCTGTCATATCCATCTACAGCCATCGTCCTCCACTACCTCCGATCCTTCCGGATTACCTCCGCTCCTTCTTCACTAACCTCAGAGCCCCCATATTCCGCAATCACCTCCGACTCCCTTGATGGTCACCACCCCCTCTTTTCTATATATTACCTACACCTCCCTAAGTACAGAGCCCCAAAGGCCTCCAGACAGCTCCGACATCCACTGGCACACTCCCACCCCCACTGGGCAATTCACTTGCTTGCCCTGCAAGTCTACCTTCGGGCCTATCCCTCCTTTCCGTTTCTGGGTTATAGCCTGCTACTCCACTAACCCCATAACCCAACTGGTTGGTAATATTCAGTCGGCTAACATTTAACTCCGTTAGCTCTGCTCTGCTCGGTCCTGCCATTCACGGGCCCACCCTTGCTGTAACTATATATACTTAACTTGTAGATAGATTACACCCCAGTGATAAAATCGACTAGAGTTGATCCCCCTTTTTAGTTCTCTCTGCCAGTAAGTAAATTAGGGCATGGACGTGTAACTAGGCACAGCGCTCCTGGTCTGAGTCACTGAGGCCAAAGCCCTCCATCATGGAGACAACTCCTTCATCTCACTTCCGGTCTCTAACAATGTCTACATATTTTGACAGCAGTGAACATGGTGATGCTTACAGTGAATGTGGTCAAAGGGCCTGCCATATTTGGTCTGAGTGAAGTGGGTCCCATTGGGACACACTGATGGGCACCCATCATTTCCCTAAATTGTCCTTTACCGAGTTGATCCTGATATGTGTTGGAATTTGCACGTGGTCTTTTTAGGGAAAACCTAAAAGTTAGACATACTGGGAATTGAACTCCAGTCTTCTGGATCGCGAACTCAGTGTGCACTGCCATTACACCATACACCCTGTTAGGCTGAGGTGGTTATTTCAACACAATATGTGCTGTAAAATTAGATGTGCTGATTTTTCTTTGGCTTGCTGTGATGCAAGACGAATGAACGATGAGATAAGAAAGTAAAGGGTGGGGTTACCACTCCTTACAGGTGCCTGGACTGGGTGTGTCGTGGGCGCGCTGTGTGTCAGAGACCAGATTGAGATGAAGGATTGTCTCCGTGGCAGAGGGCTTCGGCCTCAGTGACTCAAGCCAGGAGCGCTGTGCCAAGTTACATGTCTGTGCCCTAATTTACTTACTGGCAACAAGAACTAAAAGGGGGTCAACTCTAGTCGATTTTATTATTGAGGTGTAACCTATGTACAAGTTGAGTATACTGTAGTTACAGTGAGGGTGGGTGTCAGAGACCGGGTTGAGATGAAGGAGTGTCTCTGTAGCGGAGGGCTTCGGCCTCAGCGACTTGTGCCAGGAGCACTGTGCCAAGTAACACGTCTGTGCCCTAACTTACTAACTGGCAACCAGAACTGAAGGGGGGTAGATTTTATTACTGAAGTGTAACCTATGTACAAGTTGGATATATATATAGTTACAGCGAAGATGGGTCTGCAAATGGTGGAGCCAAGCGGAGCAGAGCTAACGGGGTTAGACATTAGCTGACTGAATGTTACCAACGAGTCGGGTTATGGGGTTAACGGAAAGGCAGGTGATAACCCAGAAATGGAAAGGAGGGATAGGCCCAAAGGTGGGCTCTGCAGGGCAGGCAAGTGTATTGCCCAGCAGAGGTGGGAGTGCACTAGTGGACGTCGGAGCTGTCCGGAAGTCTTCGGGGCTCCATACTTAGGGAGGCATAGGTAATAAATTGAAAGGAGGGGGTGGTGACCATTGAGGGGTACCAAGGGGATCGCGGAATACAGGAGCTCCGAGGTTAGTGAAGAAAGAGTGGAGGTAGACCAGAGGGATCGGAGGGATTGGAAGTCATTGGCCGGGGATGGATATGACAGTGGGCCTGTAAATGGTGGGGCTGAGCGGAGCGGAGCTAACAGAGTTAAACATTAGTCAATTGAATATTACCGACAAGTTGGGTTACGGGGTTAGCGGAATGGTAGGCGATAATCCAGAAACAGAAAGGAGGGATAGGCCCGAAGGTGTGCTTGCAGGGCAAGCGAGTGAATTGCCCAGTGGAGGCGGGAGTGCGCTAGCAGACATCGGAGCTGTCCGGAAGCCTTTGGGGCTCTGTACTTAGGGAGGCATAGGAAATATATTGAAAAGAGGGGGTGGTGACCATCGAGGGAAGTGGAGGTGATTGTGGAATACAGGAGCTCTGAAGAAGGAGCAGAGGTAGTCCGGAGGGACCAGAGGTAGTGAAGGACGATGGCTGTGGATGGATATGACAGTGAATGGGTCAATGGTACATTGGTACAGAAAAGGTCATCCATGTAAAGTAAAGAGAAAATAAAGAAGAAGTAAAATAGGAAGGAAGTGAGGAAGCAGGATTGAGGAGGGAGAAAGGAAAAGAGGGAGGAGGTGAGGAGGGGTGGACAGTGGGGTACTGGGTCAGGTGGGGCTGGGTGGAGCTGGGTCAGGCAGGTGTGCCCTGACAGATGGACAGAGATGGTTGGGTGATAACCCTTGTTGGCAAAGAACAGCAAGATGCCAGTGGTAGCACTTGGTGCATTATTGCAGGCAAACTCGGTGAGAGGGAGCAACTCAGACCAGTTGTCCTGTTGGTAGTTACAATAAACATGTAAGTACTGCTCCAATGTCTGATTTGTGCATTCCATCTGACCATTGCCTTCAGGGTGATAGCCAGAGGTGAAGTGGAGTTGCATGTCAATGTCATATCCATACAAACCCAATCCCGATCCAACTCCCAGACCCTCCACTTCACCATCTCCAGAGTCCTACCCTATCCCTGTCCACTCCGATATTCACCTTTGGACCAAACATCACTCCTCTCACCACCTTCCTCCTAACTCCTCACACCACACTCCTCCTCGATCCTCACATCACCTCCTCTTACTCCACCCTTCTGTCCCTCTCCTACCCTACCTCCATCCGCTCCGATATTCATCTTTGGACCTGACATCATTCCTCCTCTTACCCCCCTTCTCATTCCTCCCCTCACTCCTCTCCTTCTGTCATAGTTCCGACCTTGGACTTTGACTCCACCTCAGCTTAAGTCCATTGCATTGGTGACCTCATTCTACATAAACACCATTGCCAACATCCCTTGGACTTTCAACCCCGCCTCTGCAACCTCCGTAAGCTCTGCAACCTCCAAGCTCCACAGACCATACTTGGCACTTTCGCTGATTGTAATGTATCTTTTGCACTTTTCCCTCATCCTTATTTGGGCTGCTGCTTCTCTCCATTTTAGCCAGTTAGTCATCATCCCCACTTCACCTCATCCTCCTGCCCCTCTGGGCTTTGCCCTCCCTATCTCCTTTCAGATGTACCACAGGTTCTAACCTATGACCTTCAGTGCCACTCCGCTTCTGTCATCCCTTTGTCCCCGTTTGGACACCTTTGTTCTGATTTGGACCCCCTTTGATTTTCCTTGTGCTTTTGTCTCTCCATTATATACAGGTGCTTGTACATACTCATTTTGGACCTTCAGTCTAAAATTGACCAGAAATGCCCCCTAGAGACTTCCTTTCACTGCTTCTGAAATTAAGGACCAAATGGACAAACAGCAATGGCACAGCACTCTGCATGAGTCACTGAGGCCAAGGTCCCTCCTTGCTAAGTCTCTGGTTCCCCTCTGGAATCGTCTGCCCTCGCCCAGTTATAACAGTCAAGGGCCTTACCCAAAGAACAAAAGAAGTGAGAGATGAACTTGGATCCTCTATCAGAGGTGACGTGTGCCAGAACCCCAATGAAGAAGGAACAACAACAACTTAGCTAGTTCAGGTGCCATGATAGTATCATGGGTCAGGATAAAGATGCATTGCTTGGAGAGGTGATCCACAACTACTAGTATGGCGGTGAAGCTGGTGGAAGGTGGAAGTTGTTCAATGAAGTCCATGGAGATGGAGTTCCAAGGGTGTTCAGGGATGGGGAGTTGTTTCAACAGACCATAGGGCTTGTGGCATGGAACCTTTGCATGGGCACAGGCAGTACAGGAAGTGATGTAATCTTTGACAAACGTGTGGATGCCTGGCCAAGTGTACTCTTGACAGATCAGGTCAAGAGTGTGGCTTTTCCCAAAGTGTCCAGACAGGGAGTGATCATGCTTATACCTCAGAATCCACAGACAGAGATTGTTAGCATCTGGCACATAGATGCAGTTGTCTAACCCAAGCAAACCATTATTATCTAGTGACCAGCATGAATCTGTGGGAATTGGGGAAGTGAGGTGTTGAGCAATGGTGGAATCAGTGGGAAGGGCAGCAATGATGTCCTTATGGATGGCCTCAATGTCGACTAGTGTGCCTGCATGGAGAACAGGAGTGGCAAGGCAAGTGGCTCGAAGGGACAATGCAAGCTGTTCCTGGGTGAAGACCAGGCAGAAGTTTTGCAGATTGATGTGGGTGTAGTCCCTATCCCTCTCTTTGGGATAGACATTGCAAATGGGGAGGACGGCTAGACCACAGTCAGGGGTTGCCATGTCACTCTCAGCTGCTCCCTCACCAAAGGGAAAGAAGAAGGGGGGTGGAAAGGGCACCTAGGGTTTCGGACTCACTGTGACCCTGGTCCTGACTAACTCACCCTAAATCGACACACTGGGTGGACCTCCCTGGAAGACAAGCTAGCAGTACTGCCTGCAAAGCACTGTCCCCAAGACTACAAGCACTCAGACACTACCCCAGGCACACGGACCTGGTACTTAGCAGAGCAGAGGGGAGAATCCCTGTATCATACTAGATACATCTTGTATATAAACCATGGTCATCCGAACTAAAGTCCGAGCAATCCAACGGTGTTAGGGATGGACAGAAGCGGATGGAACAACACAGAACAAAGAAAACAACAGAAAACATGAAAAATATATAGGAACGGCCCCACAATCGATAAATTCCGACAATCTCCACAACGGCCGCACCAAATCTCCCGATATTAAACTCGTTCTACTTTCCTTGATAATAGCTTTCCAACAATACCAAGTGCGTCCGGATCGGAGAAGAACCGGGGGAGATATGGCGAAAATACTGAGTGGCCTGACATGGAAACTGAGTGGCCATAACCTGGTCTGGAAAAATATCAAAAAATACGAAGATGATAGGGGAGGTTCAACGAGTTGTGGGGGGCTGGGGGACTGTGTGTCAGGCGCTAGGTAACATCTGTAGGCCATGATATAGCAGTGTCAGGGTTCTACCAGCTTTTCCCTCCTTCAACATCCCAGTGTCTAGTCAATGCATCAGGCTTGGCACTGAGTCTACCAGGACGAAAATGGACAATCATGTTGAATTGGGAAAGAGACTCAGACCAGTGGGCTTGCCAGCAAGTGAGGAGTTTCATGATAGAGAAGTATTCCAGATTCTTGTGATCTGTGTTAGATTGGGCAGATTCAGATGACTCCGGAGTGGAATCGGAGACTTAGCATGGAAGGACCTTGGCCTCAGCGACTCAGGCGGAGCACTGTGCCATTGCTGGTTGTCCTAGGGGTCCCTAATTTCGGATCTAGCAGAGGGGAAGTCTCTTGGGGGGAAATCAAGTCAATTTCGGACTGAGGTTACAAGTTACTATGTACATTGTACATAAGGAGGGGTCTGGAATCAAAAGGAACAAGGGTAGGATGAAAGGAGACAAAGGGAGATGGAAAGAGGAACAACACCGAGGGTCAAGGGTTTGACTCAATGGTGTTTCTCAAAGGAGGAATGAGGGGCCAAGGCCCAAGGAGGAAGGAAGGAGGATGGGAGTGGGGAATGGCCAGCTGACTGAATAGAAAGGAAGCAGCAGCCCAAATAGGAATGAGGGAGAATAGTGGAATTGAATAGGACAATGCAATAGTTGCAAGGTCTGGAGTAAGTCTGGAAAGTCCGAACTTGGAAGTTAAACTCCGGAATATTGGCAAAGGTAATTAAATGGAATGAGCTAACCAATACAATGGGTATAAGTGGAGCAAAGTCTGAGGTTGGAGCTAAGACTGGAGGTTCTGGAGATGGAGATGCAAACAGGATTCTGGAGTGGAGGTCTGGAGTCAGGAGCATAGGTGTTGTGTGCTCATCTGGAAGGTGTCAAGGGTGAGGTCAGACCCAGAATGTTCTGGAGTCGGACCAAAGGTGGTTTTGGAGCCAGAGGTGGTGTAACCTCTTGGGAGTCGGCAAGGAGAAAGGTGACGGAAGGGAAGTAGGGCTCCGGAGTCAGTTTCGGAGTTCCGGGAGCCCAGAGTGGAGGTCAGGATTGTATGGATATGACAATCCATGACAATGTCAATGGGGTTGGTGGAGCCTTCAAGATAGTGATGCCAGGAATGGAAGGCTTCGTAAATGGCTAGGAGCTCCTTGTCATGTGTGTCGTAGTTGAGTTCCAGCACCGTCAATGTCTGTGAGCAGAAAGTGACAGGTTGTATGTATCTCTTCAATGGTACAATGAATAGAAATAATACCTGATATTGCATAGTCCAAAGTGTCAGTTTCAATGACTAGTGGCACATCGGGAACCCAATGCATCAATATAGGAGTGGCAGTAACTTGTGAAAAGTGATAGATGCTCCATGGGCTTCATGGAATTTCATGGAGTTCCATGGATTTTCTGACAAATGACATGACTTTTACAGCCTCCCATGGGTGGTCACGGGCTTCTGTGGATGTTCATGGACTCCCATGGATGTTCATGGACTCTCATGGGTACCCATGGGTGCTCATGGACACCCATGGATGCTCATGAACTCCCAAAGGCCATTTATGTGCTTGTTATTTTGCTCTGTTGCAAGGATTTGACACTCAATGCTGCCACAGTGATGTGCAGATGGTCAGAGCAGAGGGGGGGGGTTTCCATTGTTCAATCAAGTGTGAAGCAAATACATATTGCCATAATTAATGATGAAAGTTACTGAAGACAGGTAGCACTGACATGTCTATATTCACCAATACTATTTACATAAATTTTTCTGTGATCAAAACTGATGGAGATGTATGCATGTTTTTCCCTGGGCTCCTCACATGTATGATGCACCTGTGATTGGTTGTAAGGATTGTATTCCCCACCCTTGACCATATATGTAGCCTCATTATGGCATGTACTGATGGACTGGGAGTGTGAGGCTACACCAGTGCTTAAACAAGCACACCAACATATTCAGTGGACACTTGCAGTTGTGGCACAAAAATCAAAGTTCATATTTATTATTATAGAAATGGGATTTTCCCATTTTTAGCCTCTTACAGGCTCTGTGGAGTACAGTATCCCATGCCATGTAAATAGTTAGTATCCAACAACTATCATCACACAAAACCTGACCCAACCATGTTATTGTAAACCCAGCTCTCACAACCTCTGCCACATTATCTGTAGAATCATCCCTATGCTGACCCCCTATGCTGCACCCAAAACCTATGGAAATGGACCAATTCAGCCCCACAGTTCTAACATTTATACAGACTCCTGTTGTCAAAGACTGGATTTGAAAGGGAGGTATGACTCAGTGTTCAGAGGGCTTTGGCCTCAGCAACTCAAGCCAGGAGCACTGTGCCCAGTAGCATGTTGGGGCCCTAATTTGCAGATACATGGGAAGTCTAGGTGGAGGGCCCATAAATGGCAGAAACCAGGCAGAGCTGACATAACAGGGTCAAGGGTTAGTCAACTGAATATTACTGGCAACTTGGGTTACAGGTTTAACAGACAACAACCCAAGAATGGAGAGGGCGGTCCAAAGGCAGACTTGCAGGGCAGGCAACTAAATGGCCAAACGGAGTCAGGGGTGCACTTGTGGACATTGGAGCTGTCTGGAGGCCTTTGGGGTTCCATACTTAGGGAGGTGTAAGTAATATATATGGAAATGGGGAGGTGGTGACCATTGGGGGCCTCTGAGGTTGGTATGAGTGGAGCAGAGGTAATCAGGGATGGCTGGAGGTGACAGAAGGTGGTGGCAGAGGATGGATATGACACCTGTGAAGACATATGTATAAAGGCTTTTGGTTGGGTCCCCATCTCTGAGTCCTGCAATTTCAACTAATATTTTCACTTGCTATAGTATTGTCAGGGCACCTCACCTGAACATACAACCCTGAAAACCCTCCCCCCAGTCTCTCCCCATTTTTCCCTATTTTTCCATGTGTATTTACAACCAGGAGACCACATACAGACCCATGTGACACCCTTTCCAAGCTGTGGGAATGTGCCTGGCTTCTGCCTGCAGTCACACTATAAACTGGCACAGTCCACTTCCTTTTATAGTAGCTTAGCAGGGATAGGGAAACTCACCCTTCTTCTCAACTCACTCCCCACATAGCCCCTTCAGTGAGTTTGAGGAACTACAGGCAGGATCTAGTGCCCCACTGCCCAGAACACTGCACACACCCAACTCCGAGGTCAGGCTGCCCCCATGCACTGTCATGGACTTCTGTGGACCTCCATAAACATCCATGAACATTCATGGACATTCATGGACCCTTCTAATAATGCTCCCATGGGTATTCATGGGTATCCATGGGCATTCATGGTACCCATGGAATTTCACAGAAATTGGAAGATAATGTTGTACATGGGCTTTCATGGGTGTCCATGGGTGTTCATGGCCCCCCATGAAAACCCATGGATATCCATGGAGCCCATGGGAGATATTACACTTTTCAGATGTTACTCCCAGCTATCTGGCCCCCCTTTACTCTAAGCAATATTAATGACATAACTGTTAGCCAAGATTGCATGAGATATTTATGTAGTTAGAATGCAGGTACTATTCATTGCACTATTATCACTGTCATGTCACCCCTTACCCATTATTGCCCTTCCATCCACATCATCTATCTTCCTATCTGATGTCATACTTCTATCAGTTACCATGTGTTCCCAATGTAGCCACGCTCTCATGAGTTAGCGGAGCTCATGTATATAAGGCCCTTATGCCAGCTAGGCTAGCTCCCTAGCTTTGATATCGACTAGTTTCCTGGTGTCAGGGCATACACCCTGACCTAGCCCATACCGCATCCACACCCGCACTCGCACCCGCACCCGTGACTGCACCCAGCTGTTGCACTCCCCGCGCACGCCCTGTGCCGGATGCTCAGTGCAGCCGGATGGCCCGGACCTCGGGTCTCGGGTCTCATGTGACTTCCGGATATCTCCGGAAGTTTTCGATGTATTGTGGCCACTGTGGGAAGATGAGAAGTTAACTTCCTTCTCATCTCTGACCCACAGTAGGCAAGTTGTATATACTTGCCTCTCTTTTATATACCATCTCTGACCCACAGTAGGTTGTGCCCTGGACAGGGCTAGTTACACCTAGGACTGTGGACCATAGGGGAGGGTCATGGGGACCCGGGAGTCGTCCCCTGACACCTGGGGATATCTTTACACCATGAATAGATGCATGGACTCTGACAATAACCCAGTCAATGTACATTCCCGTCCAATGCAACATGTTCAAGTTTGATAAGTTCCACATATCAGAACATCTTGAAACTGGAGATCCCTAACAAGCAACCAATACTCATCATCTATGCCAACTTTCAGAGCTATTTGCACACTCAGTCTGAAGATTGAAGGCAGTTAAGCGCCAACCACTGAATCAGCCTCATAGATACTTTTTCAATGATTTAAACTTCTTGTTTTACAATGACAACTACATGAAAAATAGGCTTAGAAAAGAGGTCAACAGGTAATGGACCTCCTATGAAGAATTCAAATGCCTGGATGGCCTACAAACCCTGCACTGGTGGTTGTTTGCTGATCAGGAGAAACCCGGATCCAAAGTTGCTTCTGGTTGAATTGTGCATCCATTTCCCTCCTTTGTGTGCAACTCAAACTGCTGAAATGGGTCAGCATGCTTCTTCAAACAGTGCTGTGAAGTGAAAAATATCACAGGAAAGGGATCAACTCAATAAATCAGCTACTGAAGCATGGCTTAAGGCATATGAAGAAGCTTCACATTGTGAAGCACCAATGCCCTCCATTGGGAAGGTTGCCACTCAGTTTCCTGGAGTGGATAGAACTACCCTATGGTGCCATCTCAAGCATTCCCAGGATTCCAAACCTATTTCAGCAGCTAAACGTGGTCTTCTGACACCTACAGAATCTCAGGAACTTGTGGACTTCATTAAAGAAATGGGTGATCAGGGGTTTCCACTCATGTACAAAAAAATCACTGAATATGGACTTGCAATTGTGCAGATTCACAATGAAAATATAAAGTGCATTGGCCATAACTGGGCACAGCGGTTTGTTCAAAGGTTTGAAGATCAAATTGGTGCAAAAACTTGCACGCTTCTTGAGAAAACCCATGCATCAGCATTAAATCCTGAAAATGTGCGACACCACTTTGATCTTCTTTCCAAGACAATCCAGAGCTATGGGATCCACCCAAGAAATATCTACAACTGTGATGAGACTCGAATGTCCCACTTTGACAAAAAGTGGTGGTATTGGCAACTTCCAGACAGGGCCACTGTAGGAGGGACGAGCTGGTAGTACCCAAACAGCACTATATAATGGTCTACAGACATTACCTGGGACCCAACAGGCAGTACAGAGCCACGAGTTTTCTGGTGACACAGTTACAAAAGAGAACTTCCTTGAAATCTATGGGACTGCTCACCTTAAAGCCTTTACCAAGGAGAACATACTCAAGGCATTTCAGAAATCTGGAATTTGGCCACTCAATCAGGATGTTGTGACTCCTGAAATGATGTGGCCAAGCACTATGACATCACTTGATGCAAGTTCAGCAGTCCCAGTGATGCTTCCCTAACCAGTTAAAAAGGGAATGAACTTCTTCTGCACCATGTGTGAGCGTGAGGCAGACTACTGGCAGCATAGGCAACATGAGATGCAGTCATCAGCTCAACTGGACTCACTCCAAGAAGCCATCACAGGGACCCAAACCCCCAAAACATCTCGGATAACATGCTATTCTCCTTATCGGGCACCTAGAACTCCAAGAGAACATTGTCAGATACCGACAATAGACCCAAATTTACTCTCACCTTTCCTTCCTCCCTCATCTGCTGAGGATGTATTCTGCGAGTCTCTATCTCGCTCATCTGCATCAGTTTTACTCAGTCTAGTTGTCTACCATCAAATATGACATTGCTACCCCCAATTTATCAAAGCATGCACCACTCAAGAGGGCTCCCCCCACAACACACTGCCAGCACCACCTGTGGTAACCTGAGCTAATCAACTCCACATCGAGGATGAAGTACTAAGAGAGGATGTAAATGCATTGGACAATGCATTAGCCAATGTTTACAAGGAGATGCAAGATGGATTTGATGCAGCCAATACACCGATCCTACTGTTGGCATCATTCCTGGAGCAGTTCCTCAAGCAACATGCAGAGAAGGAGAAAAAGCACAAGAAGGATAGGTGCTGACTGCAGACTGGGAAAGCTGTTGTGTTGACAGAGGATGAGATGTTGGATTTGATTGAAAGGGCAGAAGCACTGCAACAGGTGAAGCCACATTAAGGAGTACATGAAGAGAGACTCAGAAGAAACTTGTAGGAGAGATTGCAGAGCTCAGGAAACTGAGGGCTGAAGCATGGGAGGCAGCTAGACTGGACAATGAGGTGCTGCTGGAGAATTGGGAGGTGATGAAGGAAGTGCACCGCAACCAGGGTGAGAAACCTCCACAAAAGCCATGTGTTGCCATGCATGCAGAGGTTTGGGCATTGGTAACAGAGTGTCATATCCATCCCTGGCCATCGACTTCCGATCCCTCCAATCCCTCTGGTCTACCTCCACTCCTCCTTCACTAACCTCGGAGCTCCCGTATTCCACAACCCCCTTGGTACCCCTTGATGGTCACCACCCCCTCCTTTCAATTTATTACCTACACCTCCCTAAGTACGGAGCCCTGAAGGCTTCCGGACAGCTCTGACGTCCGCTAGCGCACTCCCACCTCCGCTGGGCAATACACTCGCTTGCCCTGCAAGGCCACCTTCGGGCCTATCCCTCCTTTCTGTTTCTGGGTTAATGCCTACCATTCCGTTAAACCCGTAACCCAACTCGTCAGTAATATTCAATTGGCTAATGTCTAACCCTGTTAGCTCGGCTCTGCCATTTGCGGCCCCATCCTCGTTGTAACTATATATACTCAACTTGTACATAGGTTACACCTCAGTAATAAAATCGACTAGAGTTTACCCCCTTCAGTTCTGGTTGCCAGTTTAGTAAGTTAGGGCATGGACGTTGAAAGAGGGCTCGCAGCTCTCTATGCCAACTAAGCTCATGGGGGCCAAACTCCCTAAACTCCTACTTTCTTGATCTTCTCTCTGCTTATCTCGATCCTTAACTCCGTGGTGAGTTCCCCGGGATTTCCGCAAGGTCCAGGCTCAGTGTCCACTACTCACTCGTTGTGAGCTAGATCACTGCCCTTATTCCTACTGTTGGAATTCCACACACTCACACCCTCTCTAGCGCATCCTAGCACCTTAGAGAAAATGGGGGAGGGGAGAACTTCTTTTCAAAAATCCGGTATGTACAGGATTATAAGAAATAATTATTTTTAGAATAATTGATGGGAAATATTGGTACCATATGGCACCTGCATACCTTATTAGGCGAAATAATAAAAAAAGGGTAACAGTAACAATAAAAGAATATCAATCAATATCTGAAATGATGGCAAAATATGAAAATATAAGAAAATAAGCGATTTCTCAGCGAGTTTATGGAATTAAGAGCCTAAATTGGAAATGTAGCCGGAGATAACTCTCACGCAGCCAATGAGCATTTTACCAATTTATTAGACGCCGTGGGAACGAGTGAGGCAGGAATTCTGGGTTGCTGCTTGAGATTCCCACGCCTGCACATGCCCGTGCCTAACTTGCCCAACATAGAACTCTGTCAATTCTCCACCGATTGGGACATTCTTGATATCGTCAGAATCGTACGAATTAGGACTATTTTTAGATACCGAATCCGTATCGAGTTGTCACATGAATGGAAGGGGTTTTCTAATCATGGAAACGGGTATCCGAGCCGGTGCTGCGTGTGGGCAATTATCCCACCTACAACATGTTACTTGGCACAGTGCTCCTGGCATAAGTCGCTGAGGCCGAAGCCCTCCGCCATGGAGACATTCCCTTGTCTCAACCTGGTCTCTGACACAGAGCCTGAATTGGAGGAGCAGGCCAAAGAGGATAATGTTGGTGATTCTGAGTGCTTGGGGAGCTCAGGTGAGGATGGAGACAGTTCAGAGGAGGAGGATGAGTAGTGTGTTGCATTGGGTGGAAATGCATTTTCCATTATGAAATGTGCCATGTCAAAGATTCTGACTCTGCCCTTGAGTTTTAATCCCTTGATCTCCATTTTTTGCGATTATTTAGGTGACTACCTATTACACACTACTGTACTGGCACGACCAACAACCGGCTGGGTTGGGAGCATGACAAAAATTTTGTTTGGACATTCTGACTGGCATGGCTGCATGATGCGTGACAGTCAACCAGCAACCTTGGGAACTGCATGACACAACCCAGCCCTGGGGTGTTTTATATCCGTAAAATATGCAGAAAATTTTCGTTCTGTCCTGCCTTTCAAGTCCTACTGCTCATTATGGATGGGTTTGCTCTTGCCAGTCACATTGCTTTGTGTGCAGAGGAAACCATCATGCTGTTAGCAATATAGATACCAATTTAGGAAAATTTGAATATAATGTTTGCACAGCCGCCCAAATAGCATGACACCGGACTTTTGAACCGCTATACTCATGTGATGTGTGACAAATTTTGAAGAAGTACCGGACTGGCTGCCCTACTGGTTGTTGGTCATGTCAGTACAGTATCCCCAATTGTTAGAACCGGGCAGATTCGGACAACTCCGGAGTGGAATCGGAGACTTAGCGTGGAAGGACCTCGGCCTCAGCGACTCAGGCGGAGCGCTGTGCCATTGCTGGTTGTCCTGGGGGTCCCTAATTTCGGATCTAGCAGAGGGAAAGTCTCTTGGGGGGAATTCATGTCGATTTCGGACTAAACCAAAACAAGTATGTACAAGCGCCGATATATATAATGGAAGGGGCAAAAGCACAAGGAAAACAAAGGGTAACCGAATCGGAACGAAGACGTCCGAAAGGGAACAAAGGGTAGAGGGAGCGGAGCGGTACCGAAGGTCATAAGGCAGGACCTGTGATACATCCGAAAAGAGGTAGGGAGGGCGAGGCCCAGAGGGGCAGGAGGATGAGGGGAAGTGGGGATGATGACTAACTGGCTAGAATAGGAAGAAGCAGTAGTCCAAATAGGGATGAGGGGAAAACGCGAGAAATACATTACAAGCGGTGAGAGTGCCGAAGGCAATCCGTGAAGCTCAGGGGTTGCGGAGCTTACGGAGGTTACGGAGGCAGGGTTGAAAGTCCGAGGGATATTGGCAATGGTGTTTACGTAGTATGAGGTCACCAATGCAATGGACTAAGACCAAGGTGGAGTCAAAGTCCGAGGTAGGGACTATGATGGAGGCTCGGTGCAAGGTACGAGCGGTGTCCGAGTGCGAAGTACGGGACAGCGGTGGAAGGTCGTAACTTGGCGGAAGGGTGGCGGAGGAGTAATGGAGGGAGGAGAGAGGGGACAGGTAAGGGGAGAAGGAGTGGCGGAAAGGAGAGTAGTCAGGTCCGAAGGTGAGTATCGGAGCGGACGGGGGAAGCGTAGGAGGATAACGGGAGGGTGGAGGTGTTGTGAAGGGGGAGCGGAGTAGTAGGAGGGTGGCGAGAGGGGCGGTGTTCGGTCCGAGATGAGTATCGGAGCGGACGGAGATAGGGTCGGGGAGGTAAGGAGGAGGTGTGTTGCCAGGACCGAAGGTGAGTATCGGAACGGCAGCGGTAGGTTATGACTCCGGAGGTGAAGAGGGTGGAGGTCCGGAAGTCAAGTCGGGGTCGGGTATGCACGGATATGACACCAATAATAGTACCCATTGCTGCTGTCATCGGTGTGTGAGGACCATGGGAACATGAGTCGAAAGTGCATGTGCATTGACTGGGTTATTACTGTAGACTGTTGTGCTTGCTGTACCATTAAAATGCTCAAACGGTGAGAAACGGCACTGCCGTGCAGCATCTAATACCTGAGGCTTTGAATGGCAGGGTGGCGGTGTTACTCTGTTTGACTTCCTGTTTACAGCGAAAACCGGTTTATCAGGGAAAAGTTGTGCAACTGGAACCCTGTTAGTATTCTCCTTCTGGATTAGGAGGTCTTCTCACTGGACCCTAGTTCATATATGTCCCGTTTGCAAATTGTACATAATGTTTGCCGCTTTTGGTGAAGTTGAACATAAACAATAGCCAACAACATCCAACAGCCCTCATGTCCCAGCCTCCCCAACCATGCCCCTCGTACACTGCCTAAGTGATGACCTAAAGCTTCATATCCCCTTTCTCTGGATGGACAGTCTGAATGTTCAGCAGATATGTTGTACTTTATCTGTCAGCAAAACCCTAGTTTACAAAATCCTGAACCACTGGCACACCAACAATACTATCCAACCCCCATCACTTTGAAGAGTTGGATGGCCATGCACTCTCCCAGGAGAGGCTGTCACTTACATTGAGACCCACCTTGACAATGATGGCACACTTCTCTTGGATGAGCTTCAAGCCTGTATCCATACTGAATTTGGGGTTGATGTTGGCATAAGCACCCTCTGACGAACACTCAACTCACTTCTTTACACTCGCAAACAAGTAACTAGGATTGCAATAGAAAGAAATGAGGTCCTCCATGCTGCTTTCAAATGCTGCTATGCAGAGCTGGTCCATGACCCTGACATGCTCATTTGTATCGATGAGAGTTCAAAGGATGAATGCACCGTTGCACGTTGGTGGGGGTATGCCCAGCTTGGGAAGTGTTGCCCAGTTCGATCTCAGTTTGTTTGAGGGACTCGGTATTTGATTCTCCCTGTCTTAGGTGTAGATGGTTATCTTGCATATGAAGTTTTTGAGGGACCGGTAACAGGAGACCGATTTGTTGAATTCCTTCGTGAGCATGTTGTCAGTCTTACTCGCTGTTGTTTCCCTGATGAACCACTAATGTTTCCTTGCAACTAGGTACCACTTATGCAACCATACCCAGGACCACAGAGTGTCTTCCTCCTGGACAACTGTTCCATTCACCACAGTCAGGAGGTATGCACACTTATTGAACATGAAGCAGGTACAGTATTAGCTCTATTCCCATTCTCTTCCTTGATCTGATCAATCTAGGTGGCCATTTGTTGTATTTGCCACCGTACTCACCAGACTTTAATCCAATTGAGGAATCATTCATCAGCAAACCTGGAACGGACCTCTCAGAGCTCTCAGAGCTTTCAGAGCTCTGTGAGCAAATTGACCCTTTTGCTGTGCACCCTCTACACATAGAGTCAAGAAAATATATGATTTTGTTCTCATAAGGATGCAGAAGTGCAAAGATAATATGGATATCCATTTTTGGAAATGCATGTAAAATAGCCATCATCATCACTCGAAAAGCTCTATGAGCTCTATGAGCCCAGTGGGCTCATAGAGCTCATAGAGCTTTGTGTTTTTTTTTTACTAATGAATGGTCTTCATGTCTCCATGGAATCTGCTGAGTTATCTTGGCACCAGTAGTGCAATGGTAATATGGATATATGTTTCTGTAAATGTGTGGAAAATAGCCATCCTCATCACTCCAAAGGCTCCAAAGGCTCTATGAGCTCTATGATCTCAGCAGGCTCATAGACCTCATAGACCTTTTGTGTTTACTGATGTATCCATGGAATATGCTGAGATACAGCACCTTGTTTATTGCTATTTGCAAAATTTGAGGAAAACTCCAAAATTCAAAACTTTGCACTTTTGGCAATGTAACCATGCATGTTATGTAGGGTATAAATCAGTTTTGAAAAGTGTCCCAAAAAGAGTAAATTTAAATACAGCCCAATAAAGCAAACAGAAAGCTGATGTATCCTTCAGATATCATCCATACATCCATACCAAGCCTTTTCAATTGTCAAAATTGGGTGAGTTTTGGGTGAGAAAGGAGATGAAATATATAGTGTAAATTTTTGGATTTTGGAGTTTGCCTTGAAATTTTCAGATAGCAAAAATTTTATGATAGAAAGGTGATTTCAATTTTTTTAAATTATTTCTAAATGTCCTGAAATTTCTCTCCCTAACATTTACCAAGATTTCTGAATTTTCCCTGATTTTTTAGAAATTTTCCTTTTCTCAATTTTTTTTGAAAGTCCCCCATTTCTCCCTGAATTTTCTGAATTTTCCTTAATTTTCCCTGCCTTTTTTTCAAGTTTTTAGAAACCCCCCAGTTCCCCCTCATTTTCCTCCCATTTCCCCCTTCATCCCCCCCCCCCAATTCCTTCTGCAATTTTCCCCCCATCCCCCCCTTCAATTTTCCCCTCATTCCCCCCCATCCCCCCCCTTCAATTTTCCCCTCATTTATTCCCCCCTCATTCCCCCCCTCATTCCCCCCCTCATCCCCCCCTTTAATTTCCCCTCATTCCCCCTCCCAATTCCCCCCCAATTCCCCCTCAATTCCCCCCCCTCATTTTCCCCCTCATTTTCCCCCTCATTTTCCCCCCATTCTCCCCTTATTCTCCCCCCCCCATTTCCCCCCATTTTCCCCTAAGTAATTTCGGATTAACCCTATTTATAACCCTAAATTCAGTGTATATATCAATTGGGTTGTGTGCCTTTGGTGTGCAGTGCCACATGAGGGGTTGCAAGTTAAGTAGACTGTTGTCCAGTTGACCCTAGGGTAGGAACTTGACTGTGGCCAGTCACATGATACTGTAGTCAAGCTTTTTATTTTTTTGAATTTTTGTGAATTAAACATGGGCTCAGGGTGCCCATAGAGCTAATAGTCCTCTGTGGGCAAATATATCTCTATGAGCTCTCAGAGAGGGGGACCTGCAATTTTCAAAGTTCTTAGCTCTGTGAGCTCTGTGAGCTCTGAGAGCTCTATGAGCTCTCATACCTCCTGGTTGGGTTTGCTGATGTTTTCATTCATCAAGACCAGGATGCACTGTCAATATGATGATGCAGTCCACCATCCATCTCCTTTGTCATTTATTTATGATGCATGTTCTCAAGTTAGCGACAGTCAAGCCCAAGGATGGTACCGTTCATGTGGATACTTTTGAGCCCATCCAAATATTGTCATAGACTATGTAGATATGGCAAACATACATATAGACATGTTTCGTGGAGTTATTCACAGCAAAAATGGATCATCATCATGGGTATACAAACAAGGGTTGTCAGTTATGGGGTTGAAGAACCCTCCACAAGTGGGGGATGCATCCAATAACCCCCCTCAGCAACCATCACATAATCCTCAACCCCTTCATCATTGTGAAGTTTTTCTTGTTCCTCCACAAACTGATCCCACATGTCCGTGCTGTTTTGGCTAATGGGAATGTTGAACACGGGTCTTCCATCATCATATGTGGGGTCTCAGCCATCCTTGTATTTCTGCCTGTACATAACTACTGCCCAATCATCATCCAGTGCCTTGCGATTCTGGCCAGCTGAAGAAGAGCTTGCCATGGGATTGGGTGGAGAATTGGGAGGGTCAGATGCATGTTGTTTCTCTACCTTCCAGTTCCAAAATTCGGATGCCGCTGCATGAAATTGCTGAAGAGGACCCAGATGGAGGCCCAGAGCATGCCGGAGGTCATTATCAGAGCTCTTCCCAAGATGACCAGCTGGATATATCTCCTCTTCTTGCATACCCAGCATGCAAGAACTCTAGTCCTCACCACGTAACACATCACACCAGGTGACAAACTCTTGAATTGATGAGTGTCCGAGGATCAGCTTTGTCTTCTGGGGGCTACTGTAAGGCCGGTTGGGGTGCCGGCCTTGGTGACTCCTCAATCCTCAGGCTGTCGAGAACATAGACTGTATGGAGCTAGTATTCGACAGGGGGGGAGGAGAAGAGCAAAGCCCCTTTCCCCGACCCCGGACACTATATATATATACAGTTGTTTTACATTGTTTATTACGAAGAGTATTAAAGAATAAATGAATAAATGAAATGCGCGCAAAGCGCGCATCATCCCATCCCTGTCCATCCCTTACAGCTACCCAGGGGTTGGACCGTTGTAATTTGCTTTTTGGGCGATGGCACTTTGTCAGCATGTGTTGGAGGAACAAGCAATGCTGATGCTTTCGGGTTCAAAGTGGAGACCATGGCCACAAGGGCAAGTGTCATGAGAGTTTCAAGCTGATTGTTAGCTGGTGGATTTCCAGGGGTGTGGGACTGGGATTTGGAATGGTGATGGGTAGTCAAATCAAAATAATGACTATTAGGGGGACTGTTCAATGATGCTGTGCCCTCAATCTGCCATGCAAAATTGCCATGATTGTCACATACTAATATTGTCTGCCAATTTGATTTCAAAACTCACCCAACTAGATGCCCAGTGCTTCAGAGCATGTGGAGACAACGGTATGCACAGGTCACCAGCTTTACAGATGAAGCAGTATTGTCCATTAGTATGGTGAGGATCAATGCATGCCCACTGCTCTTGAAGTTGAACCACTTTTGCAGCACGTTCTGCCTCCAATGGGGTAAGATTTGTGATGCTGGGTGCCTGGTTTCTGGAATGTACAACCATAAAAATGACAGATCTGAAATAAAACTCACTTTACCCACATTGCCATAACCAGGTGGCTCATAACTCGCATGCCAATGTGCATTCGTAGTACTGGGAGTCTGTATTTGCAGTCAATAAACAACTTTTTCTATAATAAATGCATCTTACCGGCTGCAGCATTGCTTGAAAGTCGTCCAAGTTGACTTTTATGGTGATAGTGAGCAGCATCTGGCTGCGAATGGCCTGAATCATTGACGAAAATTCCACATTTGTCTCAATTAGGAGTCGCTTGCTCGCACTGAAGATGAGGATTAGTCAAAGCCTGAAGGATGAATGAAAAAGGGACTGTAGTACATACGCTGCACCTTCTTTGTGCCATTTGAAGATGGGCCATTTGCCAGTGCCATTTCCCAGCACATACACTGTGGAATAACCGGGACCCAATGCCCCGAGAGCAGCCCCCCAAAAGATGGATGGCTCAATTTCCCTATTGCTCCCAAGGACATCAAGTTGAAACTGCTTCTGGATGGTGTTGGGTTTCTTGTCCTTCCCATCCTTGCCCTTCTTTGGCACCAAAAGCGCAACTGTAATGCGTATTGGCTTGAATTGTTCACTGTACTCGCTGTTGGCATCTTCTTCTGTAGCAGGTTGGCTGCCTACACGGTGTGTGGGCATCTTTTCTAGCTGAAAGTTAGTGAGCATGTCAGTGACAAAGAGGGGAAAGATTTGGAGGGGGAGGGGCAAGTTTCAAGACAGGCTTTCAATTATCTTCTATTTGATTTTCCAATTCATGGCCGTTGCTGCCTGTCTGCCATGATCTCTCAAACACTTAGACCATTCTGGGATTTTCGAGATCAGGCAAGTCACTGGCTAGTACTTGCATAACATTCAAGACACACACCCTCACATATTATTGATGCTCTATGAAGCCCCCGGAGCTCCCAGAGCCCCCTAGTCCGCCATCATGCCTCAGTACCGAGTTTAGCCAGCTGCTGCCTCTCATACGCATTCTGTTGACATGTTTTGACAGGAAGCAAGCGATTCCCTTGTTAGGAACTCAACAGTGGGGGAGTACATAATTACCATGCTTATGCAAGTCTATCCCCTTTTTGCTATTTTCGGAGTGAACAGTAGGGCTCCTAGCGGATCGGATCGGTCCGGATCCGGATCAGAATCCATGGATTTTAGAGGTTTGAAACAAAAACCGTATCCAGCAGTTAGAAATCCGCGGATATGCAGATCAACCGCAGATTATAGATAATATGTTCCAAAATTATATTATGTTGGAACGGCCCTGATAAGAGCTTTCTAACAATACCAAATATGTCCATATTGGTGGAGAACTGACAGAGATATGGGGAAAATGGCACAAAAGATGGGTGTCAGATGTGTTAGAATGTGCGGATTCGGACGACTCCGGAATGGAATCGGAGACTTAGCGTGGAAGGACCTCGGCCTCAGTGACTCAGGCAGAGCACTGTGCCATTGCTGGTTGTCCTAGGGGTCCCTAATTTCGGATCTAGCAGAGGGAAAGTCTCTTGGGGGGAATTCATGTCAATTTCGGACTGAGGTTACAAGTTACTAGGTACATTGTATATAAGGAGGGGTCCAGAATCAAAAGGAACAAGGGTAGGACAAAAGGAGACAAAGGGAGATGGAAAGAGGAACAACACCGAGGGTCAAGTGTTTGACTCAATGGTGTTTCCCAAAGGAGGAATGAAGGGCCAAGGCCCAAGAAGGAAGGGAGGATGGGAGTCGGGAATGGCTAGCTGACTGAATAGAAAGGAAGCAGCAGCCCAAATAGGAATGAGGGAGAATAGCGGAATTGAAATGGACAATGCAATAGTTGCAAGGTCCGGAGTAAGTCCGGAAAGTCCGAACTCGGAGGTTAAACTCCAGAATATTGGCAAAGGTAATTAAATGGAATGAGCTAACCAATACAATGGATATAAGCGGAGGTGGGGTCAAAGTCCGAGGTCGGAGCTAAGACCAGAGGTTCCGGAGACGGAGACGCGAACGGGATTCCGGAGCGGAGGTCTGGAGTCGGGAGCATAGGTTTTGCGTACTCGTCTGGAAGGTGTCGAGGTTGGGGTCGGACCCGGAATGTTCCGGAGTCGGACCGAAGGTGGTGTTGGAGCCGGAGGTGGGATAACCTCTTGGGAGTCGGCAAGGAGAAGGTGACAGAAGGGAAGGAGGGCTCCGGAAGTCGGAGTTCGGAGTTCCAGGAGCCCGGAGCGGAGGTCGGGATTGTATGGATATGACAAGATGCCAAATTTGGAAATAACGGGCCTGGGTGGTTAGATTGGACTTGAAAAAATTGGGAGAAAATATGGAAACATAGGAGGGGTATCTAGGAAAGTGGGATATATTTAATCCACGGATAATCCGCCTATCTGCGGACTAGAAACCGCGGATATTATCCTCTCAAAAGCCACAGTAGAGTAGCAGTTACAGTAAATATGGGGAATTTCACCCTTATTTGCCTCAGATCTCCTGCATATCTGCAAGCAATAAATCATGTGATAAAACTGCGGATAATCCGCAAATCCGCGGATTAAAAACCGCGGATATTTTCCTCTGAAAATCCAAAACCGGATCCGTGAATTTCCGGATGCGGTTGCGGATATCCGCAGATCATCCGATCCGCTTAGAGCCCTAGTGAACAGGGTTCTCACTTGCACAACTTTTCCCTGATAAACCGGTTTTCACTGTAAGCACATTCATATCCCATCACCAATACATCATATTGTTGAAATAACCACTTCAGCCTAACAGGGTGTATGGTGTAATGGCTGTGCACACTGAGTTCGCGATCCAGAAGACTGGAGTTCGATTCCCAGTATGTCCAACTTTTAGGTTTCCCTAAAAGACCACGTGCAAATTCCAACACATATGACCACATGAGTTCCCATCAAACGGGACAATCCCGGCTGACCAAACCTGGTTCGGTTCTGCTGCGGTTCGGTTCCCGGTTCGAACCGGTTCTCTGTGAAGATGCAAAATAAGTAGTCGCAGAAGCCTAGGCAGAGCCAGAGACTGCCAAGTTCCTTTTTCCACTTCCGAATACGTCGATCGCGTTGCAGAAGCACCAGCTTCCTTCTCAATGGAACTACTGCCACTCTGAGGATGTCACGTACCCAGGATTTGGCTAATTCGATTTCGGTTTTCGAGCAGTTCACAAGAAAGTGGGCACTGTTGGTACTGTGCAAAGAGCGGAGTTGATAACTGCGAATCGATGCTGGCATCTGGCCTCTGCCAACGTTACGGTGCGTTGTTGATCCACATCCAAATATCTAGGGATCCAGAGATGTCCCCAATGAGTTTTTCAAGCAGCACGAAGGAATATGAAGCTTAAAGGTGACATAGCTGGTGAAGAGTGATGTCGGGGACTGAAAATCTATGGGGGTCGGCAAATGACCCATGTTGATGCCGATGCCGATGCCGGTGTTTCTATCTACTTCTTACGGACTCGGTGTCTTCGATCCACATTGGCTCCTTTCTCTAGAACCGTCGGGAAGCGACCGCACCACAAGCGCTTCCAATTGTGATCACAGCTGATACCATCAGCAGTTGTACAGAAAGAATTCCAATATTTTATGGACATTGAAAACATGGAAACAACATTCTGCACGATGAACTCTAGCTTCTCTTCAGGGCTGGTGTTGCGGTCGTCGGGACCGCCACTTTGCGCTTATGACACTCAGGCATCAGCGCGGAGAGTAATACCATCACATTCAGCACCCGCACTCGAAATACCGCACGAGGCGAAATTCGTAGTTTCCAAATTTGCTTTGCAAATTGTGGGTCCACCCGTCTGTTAGAGGACAACACCGTCCTGTCCAAAACGAGCCGGTGACGACGAGTTGCAAGGACTCCATTCTAAATGGGGCCCGTTTTTCCGTCGCAATGAAGATATGGCGGCTGATGAGGACACGGATAATCCGCCCACCTCCAACAGGTTTGAGCGTCCGAGAGTCCGTAAACCGAGGAATTCGCCTACAATTTCCTGCACTTCTGGTTTCATTATTGTAAAAAAAGGACAGTGATCTGCCTGGCTTGACTTTGATTGCCTGCTTCTCGTATGCCATATGATCGGGGTTTGTCCGAATATGATTAATCTCGTCGAGGGGAGGTATCCATGTCAAAAAAATTGGAGTACATTGTGCTGAGTGGGACAATAAGAAACAAGCACGCAGCACAAATACAAACGCCGAAACACGGTCCTAAACACCCCGCCGTGACAGGCGGCGTCCACCAGTTATAATGGATTCTTTTTTAATCTTGTCTGTGGCACATTATAATGCATGAATTCAACCACAACACACCTTTGTTTGGCGATTAAAAGAAAATAGCTGCTCCTAATGCTTCGTGGGCTGTCCAAGCTCATGAGCTTTGATAGTTGCCACCTGAATGGCTCGAGCAAAAGTGGACCGTACTCTGCCATCTTCCAGAGATAGCAATCCAGCAATCGTACATCCACCTGGTGCTGAAGCGGATCATCAGCCACCAATGTTGAATTCTCAGGGAAAAATAACCAGCTTACTCGTGACGGAATCTTTTAGCGCTGCCGGATGAATGCCTGTCTGTAACACCATGCGAGCAGTTCCCTGTACGGCTGGTGGAAATTGTGCCATCAACAGATTGACGTTACGAATCTGGCTGCTTACTTTGAGCCGCTAGCTCCAACGCCTCGACTCTAGGTAATCCCATCATCACACCCCCATCCGCCAGAGCCTCAAGCACGATTGAGACAAATGCTGGTCCAGATCCGCACAACGCCGTACATGCATCAAAGTGTTTCTCATCAAGGAAACGGCATCGACCAATGGAGGAAAAGATGGCAAGAATAATTTCACGCTCGTTCGCTTCGCAGGCTGAAGGAAGTGTTGATACGATAGTCATTCCTTCGCGAATCTGTACATTATCAGCTACGCCATTAGACGAGGATCAAGAGCACTCGCTTTCGATGGCGTATTCGGCATGGCACGAATAACTCTAACACTAGGGTCTAACCACTCACTTAGCTGGTTAATAGTGACCCCAGCCATGATACTAATGACGAGTTTCCCTCGGATGGCCTCTCGCATCCCTTCCTCTGTGAGTATTGCTTCGGCCAGTTGAGGTTTACAACTCCAGCCAGTTTGAGCATCGCTAAGGTAGTTAAAGGGGAAAAGAGAATGCACACCAGACCAGCACTACATCACTATCTCGCACTGCTGCAACGTTTTCTCCAACGAAAATGTCTACGAGGTTTGCCAGTTCCCCGAATGACTCCCAGAACAACTTGCGTAATTTCTTGGCACTTTCCTTACGACTTACGGTGGCCAAAAATTTTGACGGAAGTGCATCTTCCGATACACCCATCATGTATGAAGGGACAGGAGTGGATGTACCGGATGATGGAGGATGATCACCAAAAGTTTGAACGGGACTGTTCCATCGCGTCTCCAGGCTTGAAATCAAGCCAGAGGTGATCGCAATTCCCATCGTTCCGCATCCTACCATCAGGAGTATCACTAGGCGCTAATAATACGAGCTAGCTATGCATACCGAGTAGGCAAAGCTTATAGCCCATTGACGATCGGTCAATGGTGTGGCTGTGTGCTTCCATTGGTAGCGGGGCAGAGATCTCCGGTACAAATATACGGAAACAAAGGAATGACCTTCGCGATGAAGGCTCATATTTAGATATGTAAATTGTTAAATTCAGCCATACTTCGTGGTTGTCCACAATC